TTGAGCTGACTTTTCGAGCATTGGCTCTTCGTCAAAGCGAAGGGCTAGAAACGTCAGCTTTATAAATTCTTGCGTGTGTTGTTAGATACTTCAGTGTAATTACCATTTCACTCCGTTGTAAAAGAGAATTATTTTTAACAATCACTCAACGCAAGTTCACAGTTTTCCAAAACTAACGGTGATGCCTAGTTTTGAAAAGGCCCAAAAAGCTCTAAGGATATGTTGTTGATCTTTGAGGTTCCGTAAAATTTAACATTTTCTGTTGATTTTGCCTTTTTACCTTAGGGGAGTGGAAGAATGGACACAAACACGGCAAAGGTGTCGAACAGACTCCTGAGGGAGTATACGAAGGCGAATGGAAAGATAATATGGTAACTTGATGTTAACAAATTTGAGTCATTTCGGTGAACAGTTTGAACCCTTGAGAAACAAGCAACTGTTTGACAGGGTAGCTCTGAAAAGAACTAATTTTTTGACAGCCTTGGCGAATGTCATCACATTAAAGGGAGGGGTTGTTTTTCAGTTGAGTGTGATAAGTTTCAAAACTGCCTGTCACTAATACCGATAGCAGTCCTTTTGATTTATAGCGGAGCTCGCAGAGCGTAGCCCCATAATTATACTAAATGGTAGTAGCAACCCATCAAGCCGAAAAAAATTGGACTTATGACCGTACGGGCGTCTGTACAAGGTGCTACTTTTAACATGCGTGGTCAACTGTACCGCGGGCACGCCAACGCCACGGCTTTGTCCAGTAGTCCAATGGTCAGTGCACTGGGCTCCGAGTTGGACGACACGGGTTCTAGTCCTGGCCGGGGCAAGGCGTTGTGCCCTTGAGACGTGCGGGAAAAACAAAATGCGAGCTCCGCTTTTAGGCTTATTTTCAGTACTTTTGCTAACCAACCGACTTTCACGTATTGCTGTTTTATTCATCAGATCAATGGTGTTTTTCGTACAAGAATTTTTAATTGTCTTTTTTTTTCAGCGCCATGGCCAAGGGCGGGAAATATCGGTTTGTGAAACGGAATTTGAAGGAAAATGGAAGGAAAATAGAAAACATGGAACAGGCACTAAAAAACTGAAAAATGGGCGAGTGGAAGGGCAGGTGAGCATTGTCAATTAAAATGAACTTACTGTTTGCTTACCTTATATTTTACATTTTGCGTAATGCGGTCTTCTCACTCTTCTCGGCCATGCTTGTCAGTAAGTGACCGTCTGGTCAAATCGTGTGTCAAAAAACTCTCTCCAGCGCTTCTGCAGCTCAAATTCCTTAAGCTACTATTATTCCATAAACTACCCGGGTTGACCACTTTCGTGGCCGGCAGAAATTTTTGTGTCAAGTTTCTGATAAGAAACAGCTTGTGCAGAATCCTTCCGTTACTCCACACTAAGATAATTTAAAAGGAAAAAATGGATATAGGATATGCTATACCGTATATAGTAAGTTTTTTGTTTTATTCGTCTCCTAAGCGACCACTCTCTTTAAGCGACCACCTTTTTCTGTGCTAAGGTTAGGCGCGTGAGAGGAAATTATTTTGAACTATAGGTACTCCTTTTACTTGGTATGGATGAAAGAAGTTGAGAGTACTCCATATTTGTGTGTTTCTAGGTCTGGGAAGAGGGCAAACATGTGGATATATCGAGTATTGACGTAATAGAACTGCCCCTCATCCAGAGGAGATGATAATAATTTATGTTACCATCCCGAAATTTGAAACTACAATTCCAAGGATTAAGAGTTTTCTAGCGAAGAGATCAAAGGAATAATGAGATTTTTCCTTTACCCCTGCTTGACCAGGTGTAGATGTTGCTCTCCCCTGCCCCGTTCGATAAAAGACCTACTTCAGTTTAGCAAGGTATTTTTTTAGGGAGGGGGGGGTTTCCTATACTGCTTATCTACCAACGTTTGTTGAACCTCTTTTTTTCGCTTACTACAATGTATGAGGTAGTACTAGGAGTGATAGGACAATAAGCTGCAGAAATTTGAGTTTTTTTTAAATGTTTTATTTTTATTAATTCAACTTATATTTAAGGATAGATCGTCACATAAGACTTAGGAATAATACTGTTTTGTACAAAACGGTAACTTTTACTTGCTGTTAGTATTTGCTACTTGCTACAGTATTTAAAGGAAAATGAAAGTTTTTTCGTATGCAATTTGGGGTAGAATAGCAATCAACAGATTTAAAAGATTGAGTGGAGAAGAAAGTATTGAGTTAAACTAAGGTTAACATTTTGAGATGTTCGTCAGAAAGAAATAAGTTAAAAATTGGAGATTAGTCAAATACATTGATGGAAATAACCATAATGATGATAAAAAGCCGGGTTTTTTTTTTCTGTAGTAGTGAGGGAAGGAAACACATTATTATTAAGTTCCGCATTTTTTATTTGAAACTTTTCCCTTAAACTATGGATAAAAATGGTTATTATTAGACTGTGAAGCGCGAACAACTTGAATTAAGCACTTTCATCTAATTTTTTAAACCAGGAACCATGTAACGTGTGTTTGACGTTATTTTTAAGTGAAACCTTACATGAAGCAGCACTCTATTGCACTCTCACCCTAAGTAGTTGTGTCTTTGTAAACCGATGACATATTTTCTCTATTTTTTGATTTGTGTCATAGATGCTTTGATTATCTAAGAAATCCAAATATTTTTATTATGACAGGCATTAGAAGTTCTTAACTTGGAAGGTTTTCGAATCAATACAAACGTAGGCTCACAGAGTAAAGAGCTATGTATAATTTAACTGATCTTGGTCTGGAACACCTATCAAAAAAGCTTAGTACGGGTTATTGTAGTTTTTGTTGCGCAAAAAACCTTAACAATAGAAAGCTCGTGCAGCATGTTCAGCCAATCAGAGAACATGATACACTATAAACCAATCCTATTCACGTGAAAACATCTGTCATAGTATTATCTCGTTCTCTCAGGAGTACCGAGTACTTTCCCTTCCATCAGTGTTTTCGGGAGTTACGTGACCTTGAGGTGTTCCAGGCTAATTAGAAATGCAAATTATTTAGGATTTTTAAAGGAGTTATTGAAAGACTAATTCAAATGATGGAAATATCGAGTGGGTGAATTTTGCAGTTCCAAGATATATTAAACGATGGGTTATTCATTTAAGAAAATATATAAAAATATGTTTACAGCGAAGGCACGAATTTTAGTTTACAGTATCCCCTTTTTTTACCCAAGTCACTTAGACAAAATGAACAAATCACATTATAGGAAAGGAACAGTGATTCCAACCAATTCAGTTTGACCAATTAGTGCAGAGGACCAACGCAAACAGAGACGACAATGAATTTATATAAAGTTTTATTGCGCGTGTCCTTTAGTCGGATTGTTTACTTTAGCGAAGGGACCCTGTTAACCTATGTAGACGTGTAGTTCTTCGTTGGGAATTTGAGACCAATTGGTTTCTTTTCCTTGAGGAGGAAAGAAGGAAAACAGATCACAGAAAATTTTCACCTGTTACTATTGTTGTAAATGAGCTTCTTGATTGAGTCAATAATTGTAGACTTTGACGATGAAAGCTAATCGAAATTCTATTAACTGTAAATTGTAATTAAAATAAATGTCTATGCTATAGGCCGAGGTAGTTTGTGCTGGCACAAAGTAAATTTAGCAAAATAAATAATATGGATGCAAAATGTAGTTTGGAGAAGGTGGAAAAATAAAATAGCTTTTTGCAACTCTTTGTACTCTTGCTTGGTTCTATCACGGTGTTGACTATCCTCCCATTGTTCTATGCATTCTTAGATACATTTTTCCTTATCACAGGATTTCTCTTCTTTTCCAGTTTTGTGTATTAGAAGTTACCATGTTGATATGAAGTATTTCGATGACTGTTAAAAGGTCTTTTTCGCGCTATGGCATATATGTTTACAAGACGGTGTTTTCTCTCGCAAAAGGCAAGAAAAGTTTTATGCCCACATTGGAAAACAGGTGCTTTATTTCCTGTTTCAGTAATTTCTTTTCCACAACCTCTGCTACCCTGATCCAGCAGAGCGGGCGCTAGTAATAGGAACGAGATATACGCTTCCACGGAAACGATTGGCTTCATTCTTAGGCATGCCCATTTAAGGTTGTTCATCGCATGATACAATGAACAGAACAGTTTCTCCAAACTACCATATTAGTCGAATAAGTGCCGCCCCGAAAAAGCGTCTCCCTCGAATAAGCTCCGCATTTGAGGCAGAAATTTAGTAGGCGGCACCTTGAGTAATCGCCGCATTTGGAACAGAAAATTTAATCAGCGCTGCGGTTCCAATGTAGCGCTTATTCGAGGAATTTTTTCACACGCGCAGATTGAAAGGTAGAAGAAGTGTATCTTCCCAAGCCGTGGCTCGTAGACTCAGGTCAAGAAAGGATCAGTCCTACCCTTGCCTCCAGCTGCAGCAAAATGTACTGTGAACCGATGAAATGACGCGCGTGATTAGTGCCAGTACAGGCATAAATGGGGTAAGTTTGGCTCATCATATCTCTTAATCAAACACGGTGACCTATCTGTTTTCATTGTATTGTTAGAAACAGACACTGGTAAGGAAAATTTAAGGAAAGTCTAAGAAAAAATTGTTGGATAACTTTTTTTTCTAAGGAATCACCTTAACCATTCCTACTCCTTGGTTGAGAGAACAATCGCCAAGGAAACACAGAACAATGATTAGGCCATGGGTAGAACGCAGGTCAAATCTGCGGCCACAGCCACAACTTCCTTAAATGCAGATTCACTGATAAACAATTTGGACTGATAGAAGGTTGATGAGGATGAGAATATTGGTTGATGAGGATTTGTTTTAGACTCAAGGAACCACACCCTAAAAGCTTGCTAACTTCAATTTTAATTTAAGTAATGACAACAGCTTAAAAACATTCTTAGTCAAAACTACTCTCTTTTAACATGCATAAAAACAGCTGTTCTGAGAAGTCATTAAAAACACTTACACAAGAAAGTTGAACAGCTGTCCTGAGAAGTTATTAAAAACATTTACACAAGAAAGTTGAACCCAATGATTTGTAATGTTCATCCTCTGTTGAAATCTTTATGAATTCTAAGAAATTTCTGGAGAAGATAAAAACAAGTTCCTTCTTGCACCAGGAATACAACTGATTTGAAACTCACAATTTGTATTTCATATCAAACCCTCATCTTTGTACAAATCAATACTTACAAAAATGTGGAGACAAAACTCCTCCATTGTGCTGGGTAAATTTTAGGGGTTGTTTTGTGTTTCAAACATGTAACAAAAATGAAGAAACTAGTGCAAGATGATCAGATGAGATATACTTATTTGGGAGGCCACCAAGAGTCTGTATATCACTTTCTGACAGCAACTCAAGGTTCCCTGTCATCTGTAGGGATCCATGACGGCGGTGACACTTTTGGCAGTTCTGCCGCCGTCCAGGAGAAACAAATATATAGTCTACAGTAGTGCACACTTGATCGTGAAAAGTTGTCACTTCTGGCTGCCCATCTTGAAAGTAATGCCTGTACACACTAAACACATCAGAAAAATTGTGCCGTTGGATTGTGGTAGCATCGTATACACTTTTTTCAGTCATTTTTGCCAAAAGATGTGTACTGCTTTGTGCTTCTTCCCGTGAAACATTCTCATTTTCTGTGGAGTTTAAAGAGGACGGCTGAGTGTTTTGCAGTGATATTCTTCCACGTACATCTGACTGAAGTTTAGTGCTTGAACCAGGTTCTGGATTGAACCAGAGAGATCCTAAATGGTGATTTCTTGGCAAGTGAGCACAATTACCAGCCTGTCTAGACAATGAAAAATGTTGTCTACTCTTCTCAAATGGTAACACACTCTTTGATGCTGACACGCAAGATGCAGATCCTGTAGATAGGGGCTCCACTCCTGAGGGTTGCAAATCAACTTTCTCACAATCAATACTTAAAACACTCTCTACTTCTGTTGACTCATTTCTCTTAGTGCATGTTGTTGTGATTCCTAGTTCCCAAGGAATAATATTACTTCTTAATTCCTGACTTGGAGGGTAACTCCTGCGCACATGACTTTGCCCAGAAAAGTTATCACGATGCATGCCTTTGTAATTAAGAGACCCTCGCATAACAAAATCATAGATTGGTGAAAATGGAGTACTGTTGAAATCTCCACAACAAATGATGGGATGATAGGCTGCATTTCTTTGACCAGAAGAGGAGATTCTTGCTATTTCCTCAATTTCTGAAAATAAGCAGGCAAGTTGGGCAAGTTTGATGTCTCCTCTTTTTTTGTTGAAAAGTAAATGAGTGTTTGAGATGCATACAAGATTGTTTGAATTGCGAGATGAGCGGCCTGGAACTTTTGGTTTCAAAAGAACCACAACAGCTACATTATGACGATCCATAAGCTTCACATTTGGTTTATTAAAGGAGACAAGTTCTGATTTCACTAACGTAAATCTTGATTTCTTGAAAAATGTAGCGCATCCATCTGTTTTATCACCACTTCTTTTCTTGTACACTCCAGTATAACCTAATAAAATATGTTAAAATCTAAAATTCATGGTTCTAAGAAAAGTCTCTAACCAACATGCACATGTGAAAGAAATTCTAAAAAGGCAAGAGAACTATGGGGTTCTAAAGAGCTCAAAAATCAAAGAAAAATTACACCTTGATGTAAATTTATAATCCCACCACAATAAGGATGAAGACAGCCTTCAGAAAAAACATTACACATGATCTTGGTTTGACTAGACTTTTGTTAGTTGTGAGATCATAGAATTTGATAACTTATGAAAAGCCCTCAAGACCAAAGATAAACTTGACCTTAACAATGTGCCATGCTGAGTTAAAGATTGGAGGCTTAGCCACAAGTTTATACCCAGCCTTTCTTTTATCCCTCAATCATTCCTAGAGATGGGAAGAGAAACCCTGAGAAAAACTCTGTTGGTCAGTCATGCCCTCTTCTAGTCTTGTCTAAACTCAGAAATGAATGTCATTTTTACCTTTCTCTCTCAGCTTAGGTTCAAACCAGTCCTCATAATGACTATCTTCAACTTCTTGAAGACACAAAACCTAGAACATAATTATATGTAACATTCAAGACACCTGACTGTCATATTGAACTTTGTGGCAATCATATAAAATATCATGAATTCATTCATATTCTGCCTCATTTGCTACAAGCAAAGAACATACATGTACTGTGATGCCACGCAAGTGAGAAACAAGGAAAAGCTTGAACCAGCAGTGATAACATCTGTACCTCACTCAATTCATTGGAAAAATGAAACATTCAGCTGACTTGCATGAAGACCACACTTTCTTAATTTAGAGATTTCAAAATTACAGATAATAGTTCCTCCTGACAAACTTAATGAAGGTTTTCTTCCAATAATTTAATTCACTATTACCAATACTTACATCGGCCTTGTAGGATAGCAATTCTTTCAGAAGATTTTTCCGTCTGTACTCCCAATCTTTCAGCCACTCTTCAGATCCACAGTACAGATGGCTGTTGGAATGCAGTAAACCATCAGCAAGTACATTGTAAGAAACTACTTTAAAAGTAAAGTTCTGGTCTCTCTGTGGCCGATAACATTTTCTTCGCAAATTGTGCCACCTACGTCCCAACTTATCTGGAGATGTAAAACACGGCTGCTGCAAGGGTTCCATACTTTCAGAACAGTATTCTTGATAAGAGCCACTTGAAGCATTTTGCTCTTCATCTTGACTTGACTGTACTGGTTTGATAGTTGTTGTTGATGGATAAACAGGTGTGCAATATGTGGAGTTGGCTGAATTGTTTTTAATAGGAGTCTCATGTTGATTCAAGTTCCCAGCACTGCTAACTTCAGGGACTGCAACACAAGATCATAATAATTAAGTATAAACATTCCTGGTCTAATAAATAAATAAATAAATAAATAAAATAGAATTCATATTCAAAAGAACTGGTGGATGCCAACTTCAGGTAACATCAATTCATCAGCGATGAACAGTAGTGAAAAAGTTATCCAATCTGACACCACTACCATGACTTATTTAGTGATAAGAAATCAAATCCATTTTTCTTTTAAAAATAATGATTTTAATCAGTTACTATTGATTGTTATCACTTTCCCACTAACACAAAATTTGATCCACAAAAGGGAAGTAATCATATCCTTGTTATCAACTGTTTTGATAACATTGATTGTTAAAACAACTTCACTCGTCATTCAGAGGGTTTTCTCATTCAATTGTGTTGATGACATTGATAGTGAAAACTACTTCAGTCTTCATTCAGAAGGTTTCCTCAGTCTATTGATGTCAACAAGAGGGTAACTAAGGGTAACAATGATATCAGCCAGTGAAACCCAAAGAAATAATGTGATAATCCAATGTGTAAACGCTGACATTAACTGCTAAAATTTAATGCTAAAAAGTGGTATCAATTTTTTATTATAAAATAATTCAAATAGTATGCGCACTCTGATTGGCCATAAAACCATTTTACATAAGCATATGTAAACACGGTTTTCATTCCTCTTTTATTAGTTATTTTATAAAAGAAATGTAAAATGGTTTCTGTGTTTACATAGCCTGATGATAAGCTGGTAACCACTCCGCTTCGCGTCGTGGTTTCCTACGCTTATCTTGTGTTCTCCCAACCTCCCAAGTGTTTACATCAGGCTATGTAAACACGGAAACCATTTTACATTTCTTCAATGTCACTCATTCCTGTCATTCCACTGATAACACCAAGCTTGTCTGAAGTGTTATCAAAAACAGCCTACGTATCAGCACTCTTCTTGTTATGAAATTCCTATCTCTTGCAGAGGTAGCAATAAGGACCATTTAAAAAAAGGAAAGATCGAGGATTTTCCCTCAGTACTCAAACATGTAACTTACATCAGCATAACAACGTTTACAAATTAATAAAAGCGAATACGATGGCAATGGTTCAAGCTGACATTATGATTGACACAATGCAGAGCAGACTGAAATGATTCTCCGACTCATGCGACGCGAAATATATTCTACACGAATACTAAACGTACTAGAGCTCTCTGTACACAAATGTCAGACGAGAGGCAAGATTTCTGTATAATCACATACTTCATCATGAATTCAGTCCTTTGATAAAATAAAATAATTGCAAGTACAACAGATTTTTAAACTAAGGCTTTGTTTATAAATCATAAGTATCGGGTTATGTAGAAATATTTCCGAAAAGAAGCGCGCAAACCTTGCATGTCTACCAATGATGCACTGCTCATGGCTTCCATTGCGTCGTTTATTTCGGTAGATTTCCTTCCGAACTGTTTTCCAGCAGAAGTCTGATGTACTTCCCCCTCATATGAATATTTACACTTCTTGGCAGCTCGAGCAAAGAACGGCCTTACAGCTTTCATCCTAAATGTCGTCACCCGTTCGTTGAGTGTAGTTTCGCAACGCTTACACAGCAATGTACCTTTCTTTTGGTATCAATAGCGTGACCTTCATGAGCCCGCAGGTGAAGGCGTGGCTACAAATGTGATCAAGCTGCTCAGACAAGGAAGATTGCTTTGCATTTGAAGTGATCGGGAGAAACCTCAAAAAATGTTTCACACCAGTACGCAAAGAAAGCATTGGACTTTTTCAAGTGAAGAAGAGCTACGAAATATTCGTCAGGAGGTAAACGGCGTTTACTGTGAGAGTTTTCGCGAAAACTTCCCAGCGAAGAAAGATGTTGACTTTTTGACTGTTGAGGAAGGAATGAAGTTGGTCGAATACTACCAAAGTGTTTTGATTGAAGTTAGCGAAAAGTTTCAACCTCCTGTGCCAAGTGCTGTGACAGCAACAGCTGTGGCTTACTTAAAACGTTTTTATTTAAAAACATCAGTCATGGATCACCCTCCGAAAGAGATGTTCTTGGTCTGTTTGTACATGGCTTGCAAAGTTGAGGAGCATAATTTGTCTGTGGATAGATTTGTAGAAATCCTTCCAGTAGATCGGAGGGCAAAGACCATAGACTTTATTCTTGCTCATGAATTACTACTAGTGCAACGTCTTGACTTCCATTTAACAGTTCACAATCCGTATAGACCACTTGAAGGCTTTATCATCGATTTTAAAACTAGGTGTCCAAGGTCAGGTGATCCTGAGAAATGGCGTCCGTTAGTAGCAGAATTTCTCAGAAAAGCTCTGTTGACCGATGTTTCCTTACTTTACCCGCCATCACAAATTGCTTTAGCGGCTCTTTTTAGTGTATCCCGTGAGTACATAAGCGCTTACATAAGTGCAAATCTGGGTGAGCAACACGAACTTCTTCTTCGCCAGATTGAGAACGTAGTAAGTCTGGTTACTGTTCAGAAATGTACAGTCAGTAAAGAAGAGGTCAAAAGTTTAGAACAGAAGCTGAAATCCTGTAGAAATCCTGAGAACAACCCTGATAACAAACTGTTTAAGAAAAAGAAAGCAGAAAGGGAGAAAGCGATGGATATTGACGACTAGTGGCTCTGACAAGAAATCAGAAGAGACTAGTTAGAAAGATTGCCTTGGAAAGGAACAAAGTTATAACTACTGTGTTGAGTTACTGTTAGTACCTTATCAGAAGTGCTAGTAGTTTGTTTTGAACTCAAAGGACAATAAAGTTAAAGCTTTTGTGCATTCCTCTCTATGTAATGTCATTTTTAACCCTCTAACTCCCATGAGTGACCAAGACAGAATTTCTCCTTACTATACCTATACAATATCATGTGGACAAGTGATGAGAATGAAGAAAGATATCAATTATGGAATTACTGATTGATCTGCTACCAAATTCTCCAAACTAACAAAATGAGAATCATTTGACAGACAGTAAGGAGAACTACTAATGAGATCTTGGGAGTTAAAGGATTAAAGCTTTCCCACTGTAGGATGGGAAGCATCTGAAATCTGCTTGCTTGAGATCTAAAGGGGAGACATGGGTGTGACCTGGTTTGCACCCTGGCCTCTACATTTTAAGATTTGCACCCCAGCTGCATTATTGTTTTGGGATTTTGGGCAAATGATTATTTTCCCTTACCATGCCTCTCTATCATCCTCCATTTAGTTGGTTTCTGCTTTACCCTACCACTGAATGTTAACAAGGTACAAAATCCCTAAAACAATCCCTTTCTACCAGAAGAACCTTAGAGCCACCCTGATGAATAATTTTAAAGACAGACTCTGTTTAAAGACAGGGTTCATGATGATAGACTACCATATTATAAACAGTAAAATCAAGCTGATAGTGTAAATCTCTAAATGTTTTTTGTTGAAATAGAAGGCAGCCAACAAGAGCTTAAAAAAGAAGCAATCTGCCTGAGGCATGGGGAAAATGAAAGTTGCTAAGTAGTGACTGGCTTTGGTTTTGCATCTGTTTGGCTGAGAGGGGAGTGCATGGCTTTTGGACAATCAAAGATGCATAGTTGACCCAAACCATATAACAAATACAATCATGGATTACCAGCATCACTCAAATGAGCACTGCATTCTAACAAAGGCCTATGGGAAGATGTGGCTGAACACATTGGTAATTTAAACAGGGTAAAAATAATTAAAGAAAGCAACAAAACTTTTAAGTCTGTAATACATGTTTTGACAGAAACTTCTGTCATCTTCAGTTAATTAGTGTACAAAGCAATTTAGTAAGTAAAACAATGCTAATTATGATAAATAGTGACAACAAGAAAAGAGGTAAAGCACGAAAGTGTGTGAATTAAAAGGATAAATTCTTGACTTGCCTGCTAATATCAAGACCCTTTGGTAAAAATTATTCCTTTTAAAGATGTAAGGTCTACCTAATATTTATTTTCAATTACCAGTGAATTATTAGGTGTAATTATTGCTGGTGGGGCATGGTTATATTTTGGAAAAAGTAAAGTTAGACAAAACAGAGAAACATGAACTGCAAATTAAAGTTTGATTAGATATAACTGATTTCTCAAAACTACCTAGTTTTACATAAATGAATATAATATATTTCACTCGGCCTTAAAACACTACACCAAAAATATAATTTAAGCATGTTTAATATGACTATGACGTGGGTGCTGGATAAATTTGTATAAATATGTATTACTGAATATATATTTTTGAAATATAACTAAGGCATTTTGTTAGGTAAGGGTATGCTCCAGTTCTAAGAGATCTGATAATGAGCAAGATCTTCATTGTTCAGGAAGTAAACTCAATATCTAATCCTTGTTTCCTTTTGGAAGAGAAGTATGAAGAGACAAGAGTCCTTCCTGCTACTGGTCGCCCAGCCACATAAACTTGGAGAATGTTTCTGTCATCACCTGTACAAATGGCATTTAATAGCAAAGGATAAAAAGTAAGACATTAAAGTTGATAACAGGAATTATACTATCTTATATTAGGACTCAAAAGTGTCAGGTCAATTGAGGGTATGCCATCAACACAGATTTAAAAAAATATGCAAATATCTTATGTAATCAAATTTAATGTTAAAATCAGAATGGAGCAGAGCGAGTGATAGTGATCAACCTTTCAGGTCCATGGAATAAAAATAAATTACTGGAAGTGACAATTTAAAAGTAACAAAGCAATCATAAAATGTAATAAATCTACATGGTACAACTGTACAACCAAGAAAACAAAGAGATAGACCTAATAGTGCTTCAGAAGACTGTAGATCAGATTAAGTTAATTCCCTCCTTTCATTGAACACACGACAAATTATTTAAAACTGAGACTCTCACGAAGCAGTGTTGATTAAATTCAATCAGTAATAATTGTTATGACTCTAGCTCTGGACTTACCAAGCATCAGAAACTTCTGAATCACATCCTTTTTGAAAAAAAAAAAAAAAAAAAAAAAAAAAAAAAAAAAAA